GTGTAATTCTCAAAAACACTCGGCAAACAATAATCCTTTGCCGAGTGTATTTTGGAAAAACACTCGGCAAACCACTTTTTTTTGCCGAGTGTCAAATTTGACACTCGGCAAACCATTTGTCGAGTGCGCGATAAAAAACACTCAGCAAATAGTTGTTTGCCGACACTGTACACTACCGGAAACAATGACTTTGCCGAGTGCCGACCAAAAAACACTCGGCAAATGTTTTACCGAGTGTAACACTCGGCAAACAGCACACGGCATCACCCTAATAAACATATATGTATATAATATGGACGTTCTTCTATATATATGTAGGCTTAAGGCTTGAGAAAGCACAACCATTGATCTTGCTCTATCAATTCTGTCACTCTAATAATACGAGGGATAACGATGCTGGTGGCCTGCCGTACATCTTGATCATTATGTCCATTATGTGTTTGGTGTGTATGGCACTTCCTACTGATGCTACTGCAGTTAGCTCCATCTCATTAGGTAATAGGAAGGTCTATCTGAAATTTTGTGTCAGCAACTTTTGTACACCTTGGAGCTTCAAGCGTTGTTATTGCTGCACAAACCAAAATCTTTGTTACACGACAAGGGAACAGTGAGAGCAGGTTTGCCCTGTGTGCAACCCTATATGTCCGCCAGCACCATCTCCTCTTGGAAAGGTAACGTCAACGACTAATGTTAACTTAGCCACATAAGAGGTTTTGTGATCTTAAACCCTAAGCATCGAGCAGAATAATGTACTGATTAACAAGATATATAGTTAAATAATCGTTGCATCATTTGTTATGCTGGCTTCTTTTGATACTATGTTAGTCTAGTCTAAGATTCGTTTCGTCGATGCTTTATTAATTTTATTTTTGAATAATTTATACAGCGTTCCGCGGCAACTAGAACGAGGTCTCAATTGATGCATAAAAATAAATTGGGCAAAGATAAATATACCAAGGCTGGAAAAGCTTGTGTTTGGGTGAAAACAAAGCATGCGATGAAAAAATAGAGTGTAGAGGATGCATTTGTGAAACTAAAAGCACCTTTTGTTCTAAATCATCAGATTTTTATGGGATGGACAATTAACGTGAGTCTCAAGCACCGTCAAAATATATATCTTTTAGAGTAAAATTTATTAGCAGTCCTCAAACTTAGCAGGGAGAGTCATCCAAATCCTCCAACTCAGGAAATGCTATTTCGTCTCCCTAAACACCAAGGAAAAAAACACTGATTTGAGATCCTAAACCTGCCTCTGGGCCTATCTGAGTCCAAACGTGTCCAAAACCCACTTCCTAGACTGATGTGGCAATGTGTTGCTAACTTCATGTTGACAAGGACCAACATGTAGGGCCTATATGTTAGGTCAAGTTCCTCTCTCCCCCTTTGGCGGCGAACAAGGACTCGACTCTAGCTGACCTGGCATTTTGTAGGGCAGGTTGAAAAAAAAACTGGCAATTTCGGGCTGAATTTTTTTTGTCCATGACCATCCCACTAGACGAGTTGGGTCAGATTTTTTGGGTCATGCCTGGGCCTGGGTGGGCCACTTTGCATTTTCAGTGGGAAGATAATTAAAATAAATGTTTTAGGCTGGGCTCATGTGGAGGAAAAATTGTAGGCACCAGAACACGAACCCAGGCTCTATTCACTAAGACTCACGGGTCGAGCCAAGCCCAGCAGGCTCAGGCCAGGCCCATAGACCGAGCACATGACTCTGGCTGAGGACATGCCCGAGGAGGTGAAGAAAGGTCCATGGCCAGGCACATGATTGTGGCTGAGGACATGCTTCAGGAGGTGAAGGTGCATGATCGGGCACATGACTAGCTGTGGTGGCCATGGCGGTCTGGGAGCTCTGAGGGAGATGGCCATGGTGGTAGGAGAGCTTGGAGGCGGCGTGCTCAATTCGGCTGATAACATGTGCTCAAGGAGATAAAAGTGGCAGTTGGTATAGGCCCTAGCTCATTGGAGGAGATGCAACTCTCTTCTTATTAGGGATGAAAACGGATCGGATACGAACGGATATCACTCATATTATATTTGTTTTCATATTTCTGTTCGGATTCGGACACGGATAGCGTTCGGATACATATACTGAATCTGGATTGACTCGATTCTGATCACGAATAATGAGTATCGAATACGGTATGAATCGGATTCGGAGAAGGTCTGATACAAATATCTATTCGGATATTGAGTAAAAGCAAAGCATATATATATATATATATATATCATACGTGCACACTCTATGAGTCCATAATCCATCTAGATTAAGCCGAAAGACTAAAGAGTAAAGCAACAAATAAGATAAAGATCTGATACATCATACATCAAACATCATATAAGCACCAATCTTGGCATGATGAGTAGAAATAGCCAAGCACATTGCTTCATGGGTCTCATAGAGTCATGGTCATGGATTCAAGATCTACAATCCTTATATAGGCCATTTTTTCATTTTGAGAAAGTTTGAACAAAATGTAGTTTAAATTTCACAAGTGTGTGACATAGTTTTAGAAAGTCATGTGAGATTTAAGAATTTGTGACTAGTGTTTGATAAAACTTTCTCAAATGAGAAAATGAGCTATGTAACAATTGTATATCTTGCTGAGATGATCAAACTTGATATTCAGAGTTTTTTCATCTGAGGTCATTTAGTGTCTCATTTGAGCAAGTTTGACCAAGTCAAATTTGGTCAAATGAAAAAACAACACTTTGACTCTAGTATTATGAACTCTAAATGACTTCAAATTGAAAAGTTTTGAATACCAAGTTTGTTCAACTCATCAAGATCTACAATTCTTGTTTTGGTCAACTTTCCATTTGAGATAGTTTGGACGGTTCAAATTTATGATTTTTAAATTTCGATGCTTACAAACTAGTTTTCGGAACCCTAGATTGTCTCAAATTGAAAAGTTTTGAATACCAAGTTTGTTCAGCTCATCAAGATATACAATCCTTATATAGGCTATTTTTTCGTTTGAGAAAGTTTGAACAAAATGTAGTTCAAATTTCACAAGTGTGTGACATAGTTTCAAAAAGTCTATATGAGATTCAAGAATTTATGACTAGTGTTTAATAAAACTTTCTCAAATGGGAAAATGAGCTATGTAACAATTGTATATCTTGCTGAGATGATCAAACTTGGTATTCAGAGTTTTTTCATCTGAGGTCATTTAGTGTCTCATTTGAGCAAGTTTGACCAAGTCAAATTTGGTCAAATGAAAAAACAACACTTTGACTCTAGTATTATGAACTCTAAATGACTTCAAATTGAAAAGTTTTGAATACCAAGTTTATTCAACTCATCAAGATCTACAATTTTGGTTTTGGTCAACTTTCCATTTGAGATAGTTTGGACGGTTCAAATTTGTGATTTTTAAATTTCGACGTTTACAAACTAGTTTTCGAAACCCTAGATTGTCTCAAATTGAAAAGTTTTGAATACCAAATTTGTTCATCTCATCAAGATATACAATCCTTATATAGGTCATTTTTTCATTTGAAAAAATTTGAACAAAATATAGTTCAAATTTCACAAGTGTGTGACATAGTTTCAGAAAATCTATATGAGATTCAAGAATTTATGACTAGTGTTTGATAAAACTTTCTCAAATGAGAAAATGAGCTATGTAACAATTGTAGATCTTGCTGAGATGATCAAACTTGGTATTCAGAGTTTTTTCATTTGAGGTCATTTAGTGTCTCATTTGAGCAAGTTTGACCAAGTCAAATTTGGTCAAATTAAAAAACAACACTTTGACTCTAGTATTATGAACTCTAAATGACTTCAAATTGAAAAGTTTTGAATACCAAGTTTGTTCAACTCATCAAGATCTACAATTGTTGTTTTGGTCAACTTTCCATTTGAGATAGTTTGGATGGTTCAAATTTGTGATTTTTAAATTTTGAATAAATATCCGGATAATATCCGTTTTTAAATATCCGGATATATCCGATACTTATCCGGATTATCCGATATCCGCCGGATATCGATGATATTACATCCGTATTTGATATCCGCCTAAGATATCCGTTTTAGTATCCGTATCCGAAAAAAAAAAACCGGATATCCGAGTAACTATCCAGATAAGTGTTCATATTTGTTCGGTCGAACGGACGGTCGAATAAATATCCGTACCGTTTTCATCCATACTTCTTATTTGAGAAGAGATGGAGGAGATATTGATGGCCACTAAAAAATGAAGAGTATTAAGGGTATGCTGACTTAAAGAAAAAGACTCATCTCTTTGACAGTTTTGTAGGGATGATGAGTGATATTAGGGTGCTGTTGGAGGTGCTCTAATCACAGGATTGTCGGCGACCACTCGGCCACGACGTCCCCACAGCCATCCCCCACCCAACCCCACCGCCATCCCCACACAACGTCGATAAGTAGATCCCATAACCCTCAAACCTTAATACCGACGAGTCTCCGACGCCATCAGCAAGGTAATGGGCTCGTGGGACGCACTGTCCGCGCTCTGCGCACGCAACCAGTCACGTGGTACAGTTTGCGGTTATTTTGACCCCCCCCACAACGTTGAGGTAGCAGCGGCTGCTGCTCCGTCGTGTTAGTCAGTGACCAGCAAACCTCCTCATAAATTACCAGGTACGAGAGACTGATACCCACAAAAAGGAAGTAAAATAGCATAATGACATCCTGTTGGAACTGCCTCGGTTAATAGACTCTTCAAGTTGTTTCACTGTCATATTTCTGCTACATATACAAACAGCACCTTTGTCCTGTTTCTAATACTGCAACTGAAGTAACCACATCATGAACCTACACAGGGGTAAAGCTCTACAAATCAAACTGTATAAGCTTGTACCCACATTTAATTATCTTACATTTGCCTACGAGCCACAAACCGCAAGTGTCAATAAATCAGACACCCGGACCTTTACCCTCCTCTCCCTCCCTCTAAACACAGATATCACTCACATCAATCAACCTACAGTATATCAGTATTGGTCTGCATCAATGGAGCATGCCATCTTCTTGGTCATTGGCTGCTGTTGCCATTTGCTTCACATTTTGCAGGAGCAGGTGAATCGGGTGATCTCACACCATTCGCCATTATTGGGGGCTGCTTATCTTCCTCCACAGTCACGCATGCTCTCTGTGCTTTCAGATCTGCAAGCTTCTCGGAGGCCTTGTCCGAGTTTGGCTTATTGACAACAGGATGTTCCTCTAACAGTTCTAAGCGCCTGAGAGATGGTATGTCCCCATCACAATACCTGCGCCACATGTCCCTGTATGCAGCTTCCAGGCCACGGGTGAATTTCTCTCCATCACAGACGGGTGACTTCATCATCAGTTCCCGGAGACTCATTCTCAGTTCTTGCAAGGCATTCACATCTGATGCCAAACCCAACGCTAAGCTGACATACTCATCCTCAGTTTTGGCAACCAGCCTCCCCAACCCTACAACAGAGGGGGGGAAGACAAAACGTCAACCCATAGACCATAGTTCCATTTGGATAATAAATACCATTTAATAGTGGAAGGAAAATGGCCTTGTTTGATAGCTAGAAGATTTATTAACTATTAGTAGCTTAGTAAAACATTATCTTGTTCAGATAATACATGCTAAGTATAACAAAAATGAAAGCAGGCCACAGAAAAGTGAACCTTTGATACAACCTCTACACATAGATGAAAATGTAGCAACTTACCAACTTTGCTGAGCAGGCTAACACCAACATTATGAGCATGGACAGCACCAGCCATTGTAACACATGGAACACCCATGTATAAAGATTCACATGTAGTCGTAGTACCAGCATACGGAAATGTATCCAGGCTGCAAAAACAAAGAAAAACATTCAGATGCTGTTTCAAGTAACACCAAATTGCCTTTCAGAGAGAAAAAAAAACTACCATAAACTCAGCCTACAACCAATGACAGTATGACACAACTGCTCACCTGATGTCCATCAAGGAATACGCCTGCATGTGATCATGATTCAGATGGATGAGTGGCAACAGATCAACCCGTAATGACTCCAAACCCAACTCCTCTAGTGTGGACAAAAATTTCTGTCTTATATTCTCACAGCAGAATGGTTTGCACTTAACCACAAGCCTGGAGTTAGGGACGGCACATAATATTCTGGCCCAAACTTGCAATACTTTTGGTGTAATCTGTAAAGAAAATAAAACTAATTGAGTGAATCAGCAGAAAAGCAAATCTTTCAAGTGATAATTATCACCTTTGCTAGATTGTTAAAGCTCCCAAAAGTGATGAAACCATTTGAAATTGCTGGCGTTGGACAAATGGGCCCAGCTTCCGGGGAAGGAGTATAACAAAGAAAGCTTTCAGGAAGGCGCACCAACTCTTCAACATGCCTGCAGACAATTCCTGCTATGAGCTTCTACATGTCTAAAGGGCGTACCCAGTGCAGAGAGCTCCCGCTCTGTGCGGGGTCTGGGGAAGGGTGTCAGTGGCAAGCCTTACCCTCGCATGTGCAATGCGAGGAGACTGCGACTCGAACCCGGGACCTTCCGGTCACAGGCGGTAAGACTCTACCGCTTGCACCAGGCCCGCCCTTCTGAGCTTCTACATGTCTGAGGATAAGAAAAGTACATGCTGGAATAACTGTAACTGCAAGATGAGCATGTCTTACTTTTGTTTTGTAATAGGTGGATCAGCCAATGAGTCTGAGATTCGGTAGTCAATTGTTGGCAAACCTGTTGTATTGGGGTAGCCAATCCAGGTAACCTGCGAGGGCATACAGATCAAGGTTAAAACAAAGCCTGCTCATCAGATAAAGAATGAATGTTGCTCCTGCCAGAACATTTCTGAAAATAATGGAGGAAAGAGATATGCATCATGGAGTGTCGAACTACCTGAATAGGAGCAGGTCGGCATGCCATTGTTCCTAACTTATTATTTGCTGTGTGACCAGTAAGTTCCACAAGTATGTCCACTTTATCCTCCCTTACCAAGCTAGCAACCCTCTTTTCATCAATACCATATATATCTCTCCATAATCCACCCTTTTTCAACACCTTATCCTTGAATCTAAGTGTCTTGGCATCTGCCTAAATAATCATCAATGAAAGAAAATGTGAGTGAAAAATGATTAAACAAAACAGACAAAAGTATCATGAAAAAAGGACAAAGGAAACCATGAAGTCTGCATGCTCAAAAAAAAGGACAAAGGTCACTAAATATAGCTTATCTTTTGATTAAAAAAGGGATCATTTCTACACTTCAAAATAAATTTTGGTTCCTAATAAAGAAAGTGACCTAAAAAAATAATGGCTTAAAGTGTGTACAATCCAGAAAAGTAGGTAAGAGGAAAAGGAACAGTTTTCTATACCTTTACAACACCGGAGTAGACAACCACCTTGCAATTTGTGTAGTCATGGTGTGTAAGGGGAGCTTCAATGAAGTAGGACACAGAATGAGTAAAGTAATCAGGAGACAAATAACCGATGATCAATGGGCGATCAGCAACTTTTGAGTTATCCCAACTTGTATATTGTGGATACAATTTCATAAAGCGTTTTCCCCACTCCCTGTAAAACAAATAAAAGACAGTGAACAATCCTGCTGATATTTAACTCATGGAAACAAAGGCAATGCTAACATAAACATGTCAAGCGTATTGTAAATATGAATAAAATGACCTGTGAGCTTCATAAAGTTTGTCATCAGAGCCCTCGTCAATATAGTTCATTGCAAGCAAACGGTTCTGTAAAATGAATTCGCGTGCAAATTTGTCACATAAGGGGACAAATTTAAGCGATATAGCCAGCCATTTGAAAATATATAAACCATAGGTTTTACAAAAGTTATAGAAAAGTAACAAGACAGATACTTCCACCAAGAGCAAAGTTTAAGTAATGAAATTCATTCCAGAATGATAAAGATGTGATAGTATGATTATTCAGATGTGCAACATCTACCAATGGTTGTTTCCCAAACTGGGCAAGCTTATTTAAGAATTACTGGTGAGAATTTCTGTATAATCAAATCTTTAATTACAACATAAAGCAGCCCAAAAACAAATTCTAATGAGCATAATTGAGGACCTGGCCAGCATTTCGTGAATCAGGATCGATCTGAAGGCATCTCTCGTAAGCATGAATTGCTAAAGTAATACTACCAGCGTCTCTGTAAAGAACACCTAGGATGACAAAAATGATGAAAGACAGTTAATAACTCTGATAAAATAATTTTATTAAGTTATCTTGCAATTTGGAGCTGAAAAACAAATACAATATTATTACAAAAAAGGTGAGCAGAAAGGCATTGACACACCCACATCTTACAAGATAACTCTTAGCAGAAAACTATATATCAACCATGACATTTTAAGCATTCACACGGCATTGGTTGGTTATTCATTACCTAGATTATTATATGCTTCAGCATATGTGGGATTAGCATGTATGGCCTTCTCAATCATACTTGCAGCAGAATCCATCTTACCCTATATAATAAATACATATTTGAGTGGGCTAAAAGAGCAAAGTAACCAGAAAAACAAAATAGCAATTGTACAAGAGAAATTTGATAACAGAGGACAGACCTGAACAGTATAGACAACTCCAAGGTTATTTAGTGACTGGGCGAAAACTGGCTTAATTGACAGTGCCATCTGAAGACATTAAAAAAAAAGGAAAACAAATTAATATTTGCCGACAAAAAACCTGAACACAAGAGCAAAATTAGTTTCACTTACTTGATAACATTCAACAGCTTTGTCAAGGTTATCCCTATCCTTGTATATTACTCCTAAATTGTTGCATGCTTCCGCACAGCGAGGATTGAAGTGCAGAGCAAGCTCGTAAAAGACAATGGCCTTCACATCATTCAGAAAAATGTAATCTTCAGCTAAAGGTGAACATTGATGTTAGAACAATTAAAGAGATTAGCTTATAACTAACCATCTCAAAATTCAACATTTCACCATATGCAACACCAAGATTATACATGGCATCAGCATAATGCCAATTATAGAACAGAGCTTTCTTGTAATATGCCACACCTTGATTGATGTCACCTTCAATTTTTACCTGAGGATTTCCGATGTTTTAAATAGTAAGTGAAAACACAAGAGATGTGCCAATAATCAATCACAAGAGATGTGCCAATAATCAATCACCAACAAATGCTCGTCCTCATACATAAGAACTTCATCAAAACTATAAGGGTCCGTTTGGATGATTGGACGGCTGGCATTGAATTGGGTACCAATACCAAATCAGACTACCATTGGAAATGGGCTACAATACCATATCAGATGTTTGGATGTAGATGGAATTGCTATTTGGAATCTAGGGACGGGCAAATACCAAATAAATGTTTGGATGTACATCTAGTCGAATTGAATTGACTCGCGTCTTCTTTCCCAACCGGGACTCCGGGTACATGTCCGGCTACGCAGGTACGACAACTCCACGACTCGCGGCCTGCTTCGCCTGCTTGGTGCCCGCCGGAGCTCGAAGGCTCGAGCCGGCCTGTGCACTGCGCCGCCGATGCCCTGCTTGCCTGCAAACTGCTGGCTGCTGTGGCTGCTTAGCGGCGGCCTCCGCACGCCGCACCCCGACACAGGCCCACGGCCCTGCGGCACCGCCGCTGGTGGAGTCACGCCAAGGCCAGGAAGTCGCCGACGTTGAGGATGTGGCCTGACTTGAGGAAGGAGACGAGGATCCTAGATCTCCGGCTGCAGGCCGCCGGTAGTGGGGATTCCAGCACCTCGGCGGTGGCCGGACTTGAGGAAGAAGCGCTCGTCCTTGACGGAGACATCGTCAGGAACCGTGCTCGGCCTCCAGATCCATTGTCGAGCATGCCTCTTCGTTCTCCCTGGGCACCGGCAGTGGGGTCCGGCGGTGGAGGTGACCGACGACGGAGGATGGAGGTGTACGCAGTGGAGGTGGGGATTCTGCGCCCAGGTGGAGATGGCCGACGGTGGAGGTGCTGAGCGTCGGGTCCAATTCCACTCAATACGGAGGGGTCAGGCTCTGTATTGGGATAGGCCTCTTCCAGGTATAGTTCAATATCAGGGAATTGGGTCTCCAATGCCAAATCTCAATTCTACATCCATCCAAACAGCAGCATTTGTAGCTATTCAATGCCAACTCCAAATTCCAATGTCTAAGGCCGAATATCTACATCCAAACGCAGCCTAATTGAAATATGTGCTGCATAGGCAATGTTCCATTAAGGGTGGTCAAGACTATTTCTGTGTTGTCAAATTTAGCATGCTGAAATTAAATATGAGTGGATAAGCACTTGTTAATAGTTATGTTTGCTTCAATAAGGGCAAGGGATAAGAACAGAAAGACTTTTGTTTTACACGAGGCTTGAGTAGTGGAGTTACAGTTCAATGCAATCTGGTATGATCAGTACAAACTTGTGAATTGCACAAAAACAAAGAAAATAAAATGATGGCAACCACTAGGATGAACACAGCACACACAAGAAAAAACAATATTCTGAGCTAGTTTAAATAGTAAGGAGAAAGTCTGCACCTTTGTTCCCAAGTCAGTTAGTGCTATTGCCATATTATTCTTAGCAATCTCAAAGTTGGGGGAAATAGTCAAGCACCTGTATTACAGTAAGATCATGGCAGGAGCATTTCAAGTCTTCAACATGTTACTGGTGTATATTACTCAGAAAACTAGAGTACTTGATGTGATTAAAAAAAAAAGATACCTCTCGTAGCAGGCAATTGCTGCTTCTAGGTCTCCCCGATTCTTATAGATAACTCCCATGTTGCAATAGGCCTCGGCATACAATGGTCTCTCCAGTGCAGCTTTCTCATAACAACTAAGAGCCATTTCAAATTGCATCATCTCCGAATAAACAACTCCAAGGTTGTAATAAGCCGGCTGCGTGAATTGGATTAAGGCATCACAACAATATAGAGTTGTCCATAGAAAGATAATATTAGCAAGACAGACACAAGCTGCTGTGATGATGGTACCGCATAGTGGTTGTCTACTTCCAGAGCTTCACAATATTTTTGAATTCCCTCCTCTGTATTACCCGCAAGCTTCAAGCTAGTTCCAAGATCAGTCAACACAATAGCAAGAAGTTCCGAAGCAGGTTTGTAGGAAGGATCTGCCGTCCGTGCTTTTTGATATGCCTGTCCCAGTTTTTATAATTTTCAATGAGACATTTAGGAAGCTAATACAAGAAACTAACAGAAACTGTAAGAGCAGCATGTTGATATTTTTTTGCAATATGCTAATGTTAATTCATTTAATTAGGCAATATGCTAATGTTAATTCATTTAATTAGGTAGACATGGAAGAAAAGAACAGAGTTAAGGTACAAACAAGATAATGGCACTAAATTTAGAGGACTGTAGTACTAAGTCTAAAACTGGCATATTTGCCTTTAAAATCACATAAACTACATATAACGTTCCATTAAGTCTGGCACTCATAGCAATAACATAATGCAAACAGGGTTTATATTTTCTGTCTCGTGTTGCAATTCAAAAGATCAGTAATACAACAGATAGAATAGGAAATGCACATAACGAGACCTGCAAATACCTCTGCTGCTTCAACCAAGTGACCCTCATCTTTGTAAACCATCCCACAATGTGTAAGAGCACACGCATTTCCTGGCTCGATTTTGACAACTTCTGTAAAGCACTCAATGGCCTGTCTTGGTAGGTTCTGCGCCTGGAGGCAAATCCCTTTCCCGATAAGGGCCTCCACATTGCCGCCCACCTTCTCAAGAACAATGTTGTACAAGTTGATCGCATCAGTGAACTTATTCCGCGACCGAAGGATGTTTGCATACCGCAATGCCTCCTTCCCTTCCAACTGCTGCTTCGCTGGAGACGCGCCCCCATTGAGGTTAGGGGCAATACCGTTGCTCTCCTTCCCTGGGACAGAATCCATCCCTGGCTGCCCCATGAAAGAGAGCCGCCTTATTCTCCTTATTTTCTGTGAAATTTTGGATTGATTGATCAGTTCTTATGCTTGCCAAGAAATCAAACAGGAAGTCACTGGCTAGAGGGGAAATGGAATAAATTTGGAGCGGGGACTGACCTGGCGTGGCACATGTGGGGGTTCACTCGAACCCCCAAAAGTTCTGGAAACCAAACTGCACCCAGAAGCCTTATTGTGCGAAGCAATGTCGTTCTTGCGCGCCCAAGACGAAGAAGGATAAACCCAGCTGAAGCATGGAGGGATGGATTGGATTACTAGATACTAGGGCAGCAGTACCACGCGGCAGACAAAGACGAAATGAATGAAGAACGAGGAAAAGACAGAAAGAATCGGTCTTGACTGAGAAAACACATTCTTTAAAGAAGGGAGTCCATCCAAGAAAGCTCGGGTTACTTACCAGCGCCCCCAAAGTATAGGAACCCAAAAAAATCCCAACCGCGCTCCCGTAGACCCGGAGCAGAACAGCGCCCTGCCTGCGGCCCGGAACTGCCACGCGGCGGCGGCGAAAGGCGGCGCCGGCGCGGTGCTCGGCTGCGCTTGGCAGGGAGCCCGAGACAAGCTCTGGGATCTCAGAGCCGCCCCGGGCGCGCGGACCGGGGAGCGACAGGCCGCGCTTCGCCGCCCTATCGCGCCGCTAGCATCGAGGGGAGCGGTGATCGCCGCGGCGGCGAGGGTTTCGGGAGTGGAGGGAGGTGGGGGAGCAGGGGGGAGGAGGAGGGGGGCGGTGGCGTAGTACAGTACTGGTGATTTTTTTGTGTTTAGCCCCCTCCCTTTTCCGGGAAATTAACGGTGCTTTGCCTTTACGCTTTGGCTCGTGCGCCCCGCTTTGATTGATTTGGGGGGCTTTTTGTACTGCCCCGTCCGCTGCGCTGGGACTGCCTGCTGCAACTGCATCCTGCGTCGTGCAGCTTTCTTTTTCCGGCCATCTTTTCACTGCCACCCCTTCAGTTTTTGGGTTATTTCTTTTTATCTATTGATGAATCATGAATGTACTACGCGGTAATCGAGATAATTTTATACCCACTGCAAAGAATTTTCTTGTCTTCTTTTCTCTACAGTAGACCAGGACACGTTTTCTCTTTATATATATTGTTATATATATATATATATATGGGTATGAGAAAAATCGTAGCCGAGTTCAAGCGATTTAGTCAAGTAGTCAAAAGTTGCTTTGAATTTAGAGATTGCATCACTAGAGATGGCGTTTATCGTTAGCCTGTTACTCTAAAGTATGTGTTTGCTTACTACAACTATTGTTGCCTTCTTCGTTCGTCATGACGACACATCCAACCCACTTCCCTCTACCTGATATAGTTTGGTACCACTTTGAATTCGCTAATGTGTCACTAGAGTTATGATATAACGCAGTCGTTACTCTTACAACCCGACATCTATAATTGCTCTGCTACCTTTTCTGTCGTCGCATCCATACACTCACTTTACTTTTTTCTCGAAAGAAAAACGAAGCCCACTCTGCTTAACATGATCATTGTATAAGGATTTTCCTATGTTCAAGTTAACCCAAGAGATCGTTGCGCCAAGAAAAACTCTAGTTAATCCAAGAGATCATTGCATAAGGGAAATCCTGCAACTATCAAGTTAATCCAAAATAGATTGCATGTGTCGCTATATGGGTGTAAGGAAACTGGACCCTTAGCCCATTTACTTTGGATTTTGGTGTTTGATGACCAACACAACTAAATTGGACTAATAAATTTGCAAGCGATTGTTTTATAGTTCAATAGGATGCAAGACGTGACTTGGACGAAGACGACGTGATGATCCAATGATCAACACCATAAGCAAGACCTTAAAAGCACAAGAGAAGACCTAAGATATCAAGCAAAGTCCAAGCATGAAGATAGGAACCAAGCCGTACGCAAGATCGCGAAGAAACGAGCTCACAGAAGTGACCGGATGCTGGACCGGACGCTAGTACCACAGTGACCGGACGTCCGATCAAGAGGCTCGGCAGTAGCAATGACCGGACGCTGGCGGCAGATCGACCGGACATAGGACAACAGAGTCCGGTCGAGTACAGAGAGGTTCCAGAGCGGCGAAAGTGCGACCGAACGCGTCCGGTGGCATGTGACCGGACGCTGGCAGCGTCTGATCAGTTGATCACGGCTCCAACGGTCGGGACGACCGGACGCGTCCTGTAACACCCCAGGTGTTTGGACTCCACATTTGCACTGCATTTCATGAACATGAGCATCATGCATCCATTCGTGAACTTATATCACATGAAACATGATTTCAAAACATTCCAACATGTTGTATATTTCATGTGTGTTGTTTCTTTTATGAAATGTAAAGTGTGCAACACTTAAGTGCAACATGTGCCACTCACTTAAGTGAAACAAAGTTAGTTAATACTATGCAACAAGATCATGAAACATGTAAAACATGACTATGAAACAATTGTAACAATTCATGTGTTTTGCATTGTTTCAGTACATACCTTGCTTGATTCTTGTGTGACCAATGTGTGGTGTGACTAATAATTCTCTTAAACAACTTAGTTATACTTAGAATGTCATTAGGGACAAGGTTCATGTTGATCATTTTGTCTAATTAGGTTTCCAAGTCATGGTTTGACCAATTTGGACCCCTAGAGCTCCTGCGTTTGACTGTTTAAAAAGTGTAGCTTAGGATGTTTGCATGTCTGAGCAACCTAAAGCAAAATTGTAGAAAATTATATAAGGAACAAAAGTTGTTTTATGACCATCTCATGAAAATGTGCAGAACATGCTCAAAAGGGACCCACAAGTCAGAATTTAAAGCTGATTCAACACTTGAAAATTTTGCTAAGTCCTAAATGCCATTTCAGTTTGAATGGGCCTACTTTGGCTTGATATAACTCGTGATCCGTTGTGAATTAGCTGTTGATTTCTAAATCAAAGTTGTAGCCCTACTATAGCTCTACAACTTTTATGTTCATTGTTTCCACTAATTCGTCACGGTTTAAGAGATCAAATGCTGTCAATTCTTGCTGTCAGGCTAATTGGTTTCACTGAATCGATGCTACAGTACCTGACCGGTTTCAGAAAACATCCGACGCGTGGGTGACACTCGTCGCCGGCCGTCTGACCGCACAGCCATGCGCCGCGGATGCCCTGGCGCTGCTGGCCACGATGTGCACACCCCCGCGCGCCTGCCCGACCAGCTTGTCAGCCCATTTTTCATTTCTTCGCCTCCACCACGCGTAGCCAGCGAGCTCAAGCCGCTCCGCCATTGCCGCTCCAACTTCGCCGTCGCCGAGCTCGCGCACCGCTGCAAAAACGCGCGCTACACCTTCACCGTAGCTCCGCCGTGTTCGCCTCTACGTCCTCCACCACTTAGCCGAGCCATTCGAGCTTAGGTAAGGTCGCTGTGACCATTCCAGCCACCGCTGCCATGGCTGAGCTTCGCCGGAGTTGGCGCTCACCGTGGCCGGCCCATCTCCGACCACCACGGGTCCTTCTAGAGGGTGCGTTAGAGTCACGTTGGGTTGGGGAAGCTCGGTGTAACCAGCAATTGCGCTATTTCGGTCGCCGTCGATGCCTCGCCGTCGGACCGAACCACCGCACCGCCATGGCTGCCGCCACCGTCTTGGTCGTCGGCAATAGGCCAAGCCAAGTAGGTCTATAGACTCGGGAGTTCGAGGTGGACGTGTTGGTACCACTGCCGTCGCTGGAAGAGTCATCGTCGGCGAGTTCCACCGCCGCCGCGCCGTCGCGTGCGCCTCCCCTGTTTTCGTCTCGCTGACGGGTGGGGTCGGCTGACACCCGGGTCCCACACGTCAGTGGCTGTGTATTCATATGATAGTTCAAAAATTCTAGTTTTAGTGTTGTTTTGTAAATTTCATAACTCTAAATTGGTAGATCCAAATTGAGTACTTCTAATTTTGTTAGACTCACAGGGAGGTCTAGTATTTAAGAAAAATATGACATGAACACTTGTAGTGGAAAATTTGGATGAATTAAATAGGAACTTGAAAAGTGTTTTTGAATGCATGCAAACTTGTTTAAATCATATCTTGAGTTTCTGTGATCCAAAAATTGTGAAATTTTGTGGGTAAGCTAGTATTGCTTAATAGAAGCTTTGGTTAAAATTTGAGAGTCATTGCATGTGTAGTTTTTGAGTTATAGATTTTCCTTTTATCATTGGTGGATACTTGAGTGAATTTTTGTATATTATCTAGGAATCCTATGGCCATGAAACTTGGTAGGTAGTATCTTAGTACCTTAAGGATGCTAGAAAAAATATGAAATCTGTTGCTTGACACTTTTCACTAAGGTTTCCTAATTATGTCATTTTAAGTCATCCTGCCTTACCATTTTTGTGTAGGTTGTTATACTTACTCAAATGGTGTGAAATTTTTATGGTAGTCTACTTAGGGCATGTAGTGTCTACTGTAATTTTTGTAGATTTAATGATGTAGTTTTCATATATATTTACTATTTCCTCTAATTAATTAAATAAATTAAGAAATGTATTAAAAGAAATGTTTTGGGGATGAACACCCTACTTTCTGGTGTTCTTGTGATATGTGTGATATGTGAGTAAAGTTGGTTTTGTCCAATTAAGTGTTTATATCATAAGTTAATAATTATGTGTTTGCATTATGTCCTTCTAGACAGATCTGGGGACTTTGGAAAATTCCCCATGATATTTTGATTTGTTGTGAATGGGATGAATACAAAAGTTGTATATAATTTATGTATCTAGCTCCTGTCAAAATTTGAGGGCATTTGGCCTAGTAGTTTAGAAACTACAGCTGTTTAAAGTTATGTTCCAGTTTTGCTTACTCTCTGCCTTGTGAGGACAGAGTTCTGTTGATTTATGAATTCGACTTGGTAAAGTGTTGAATCATGCTTGGAGGTCTGAAAATAAATTGTAGACAATTTCATAAGCTTTCCAGATTGTCTTGTTGCAAGTCATTTGGATTTATAAATCTCCAGTTATGA